GGCGGAGGCGACGGGCGCTCCTGATTGGGCGTGGCTCACGGAGCGGGTGAGTGGTGGGGGGCGCGGAGGTGAGGTGAAGGTGAGGGACGGGAGCGCGCAGCGGGGCGCCGGGGGCGCGGCGCAGTGCAACGCAATTCAGTGACATTAAATGCAATGAAATGCAACGCAATACAGCGCCGTGCACCACAATGCGGTGCAGTTGTACAACTACCTGAAAGGAGGTCGTCGAGAAGTGGGTGTGGGTCTCTTTCTCACAAGTTACAGCCGACAAGGGCAAGAGGAAATGGCGTCAAGTTGCGCCAGGGGAGGTTTAGGTTAGACATGAGGAAAAACTTCTACACTGAAAGGGTCGTCAAGTCTGGACCAGGCTGCCCAGGGAAGTGGTGGAGTCACCATCCTTGGAGGTATTTAAAAGCCATCAAGATGCGATGCTCAGGGACATGGTTTAGAAGTAGGCATGGTAGAGTTTAACGATTGGACTTTATGATCTTTAAGGGCTTTTCCATCCATAACGATTGTGATTTTGCAGGGCAGCAAAGCAGCACTTGCAGGGGCAACGCAGCGCTGTGCAGCTCAGCCTTCTGCAGTGCTGCAGGGCCAGAGCATGGTGCACACAGGGAGCGCGGTGCAGAGCAGTGCAGTGCTGTGGGGAGCAATGCAGCTCGTGTGGGTCATTGCTGTGCCAAGAACACATGTAGCACAGCACAGTGCTGTCCGCAGAAGTGCAGCGTGTGTGGGTCAATGCAGCACAGTGCAATACAGCCTATCCCAGCACTTGAGTTGGGATTTCATTTTTCATACACAGCACGGCCTTTCTCCAGCTTCTCAGTCCACACACACTGTACAGAATCATTAAGGTTGGAAAAGACCTCTAAGATCAAGTCCAACCATCAACCCAACCCCACTAAACCATGTCCTGAAATGCCACATCTACATGTTTTTTGAACACCTCCAGGGATGGGACATATGACAGTATTCCCATATTTCTTGTGCAGAAACGAGTAAAGAAACTTCTACCACTGTCACCAGGGATAAAAACTGTCTGGGTTTTTGTAGTGCCTCATCTTGCAGCTCCTGCTGCTTTCCAAGGCATTCAGTTACAACAAGGGGGATGGAGGCAAATAGAAAGTGATGTCCCGGCTCACCTGCAGCTTGGTGAGGGCAGGGGGAGAAGGTGGTGGATGCCCCTCTGGCTGCTGCAATGTTTCCACAACAGAAAAGTGCCCTCAAAAAAGGGAGAAAAGTGTCCTCACCTTTTCACAGGGAGCAACATCTATTAAAGCAGGAGTGGGTTAAACTCTCTTTTGCTTTAAATGGGAATTTATTCAAGACATTAATCTGAAGATGCATGGCACGTACTGTGAAGGGCAGAATTTTTTTATATTGCCACCTACAGATACTGTAAGCACTTTTTCCCTTTGCAGACAATGGGAACATCACAGCAGGGTTTTGAGACATCCTGGCACCTATTTGCAGCACAGGTCTCCTTTGGACTAAGGCAGAATAATTTCATCTGGAGTTTGTGTGCATAAATCTGCCACTCAAAAAAAAATACAAGAAAACCATTTTGTCTTCTAAGTCTTTTCAGCTTCTCATTATTTATAGCATCACTGTAACATAAGGATAACATTGTCCCTGCTTACTGCAGGGGGGTTGGACTAGATGATCTTTAAAGATCCCTTCCAACCCAATACATTCTATCATTCCATGATATTAAAACATAAAGTGTGTTCTCCTGTGTAAATGACGACACAGTAATACAACATACCTTTTTGAAACTACTTTTATTAAAACTATGCATATATGGCTTTTGAATGGCAGTTGTAAGATTATCACTGTAATTACTGAAGGGTTAATGCTTTGGTACTGACCAAAAAAAATTTAAAATCCCTCTTTACAGTATTGAGAATTACAGAAGCAATTACTTTGTAGGTGGAAGTTGGATGTATATAATGCAGGGGACCTTGGAGAATGCCCCTAAGAAACGGGGATGGAAGAATTCATACCTAAATAAGAAGAAAGTATGCCACAGTAGCATAAGCATAAATCCATACAGGTAGCCAGCCACTTGGTGCTTTATGGCAAATACTGGAACTAGGAGCATGCATAAAGGCACTGGCCTACCCTACACCTCTTGCTTCAGGCCACAGGTAAGGCCGAGCAGCTCCCTCCTACCACTCTGCATTGTGTAGGAAGAGGTCAGGGCTGTTCTCACAGTTCTTGCCTACACCACCCCATGACTGAGTTTGAAAGATGAGTATGGAAGTAGCACATTCTTAAATGTTTATCCTAGACTCACTGTGTTGATAATGCAAAAACATACTTAAACATGTGGATAGATAACAACTTAGCTTGATCAACCTACATGTAAACAAGAATCAAGAATTGACCTGTTAATTCCCACACGTAAAAGGCACTAAAATTTTCCAGACTATTAAGAATATTCTATTGTTTGAAAGTAATAAGGTATTCAGGATATGCCTGAATGTCACTAAATATGGCAAATATTGTTGGATTATTCACATTATCAACCACGCTGTCATAGAGTTCAGTAGGATTTACTGGGTTTTTTGGTGGTGGAGTGACTAGCCCTCTGCTCCCAGCACAGTACTGCCCAGTGAGGACTCGAGCCAAGTACATGTGTTTTCTGTTATTATTATCTGGCCTGGAATAAATATCCTGAGCAGAATAACTTGCATCAACAGCAAAGTAGGTTCCATTTCCAATGGCTGCAGCTGTTTGGAAAGACAACATTTTCAAATATCGTTAGTGTCCTTATTCCCATAAGAATCAATAAAGCTCCTACTCCCCCCCCCTTTTTTTAACTCTGCAGAAGTTATAAATATGGTCAGAGTTTAAATCAAACATGAATCCACTTAGATGTCAGGTAAGTATCGACACCCAGGTTTTGACTGCCCTTTCCTATGAGGAAAAGGGTTCCTCTCTCTGTTTAGCCTTGTGCAATCTATCAAATTACAAGTTTCAGAGCCTTTTCAACTTAAACCAACTACATCATTGTAATTACAGTTTTCTAGTTACACTTCATAGCAAAAGAGGAATCACATTTCTTTGAGACAGGTTTCTTTTTTTCTGACATTGGCAGAAAGCTGTTCAGGCCAGACAGGTCCTTCCTGTCTGACTGCTCTGATCTTTGGATAATTTTGCACAGCTATGCAGCCTGACAAAAGAGAAGCGTGCCCTTCCTATCATAAATCATGGAGAGATGGATGTCAGTACTCACAGGTACAGAGAGGACATGGGGATCTAGGGCTCTTGCTCCCTGAGTAAATGCAGCTTCCTGTCACTACCAAAGAGCAGGAAAGCAAAACTACATCTCCTCTGGTCACGGTTGAAAAAGAAATGGTGGCTGCCATTCCTCTCTGTGCACAGCCTGATATATTTTCTGTGTGTCTGGCTTCGTTTTCTCAAGAAGATATCAGCGTAAGTACCTCTAGAGGATCCAGAGAAATGTCTACTTTTGGATCCAGACCACACTGAAGTGTCAACTAGATCTGAGTTAAGCTGTCCAGCTCTCTCAGGATCAAGTCAGCCCTAACCACGTACAACTGTGTCTTAAGGAAGAAAACTTTAAGAACATAGAGATTTTTGAAGCAAGGCTGCAGGATTTCTAAGAGTGACCAGCATCTCAATTCTGCCCAAGTTTCACTTCTTCAGATCTTTAAATGCTACCAAATAATAACATGACTGTACTAGAGGAACTGGACAAAATAATCTTTGCATTAATGCAGAAAGTCTTTCTGCCAAATATTTAATAGTTGTCCCTAACAACTATTAAAGGGGAAGAATTAATTCATTGATTTCAACTGATTTCATATGCATAAAAATGGCAGGAGAGCAGGATCTTATGACTGCTTGTGCTGTCCTTATCTTCAGAGGCAACAGAAGTATCTGCACCTTTACTTTGCTACCTGCCTTTATCTAGAAAGAGAAGCAATACCAGCAGCCAGTGTCTGGTATTTTAGCTGAGGAAGCTGAACAGCAGTCCTTGTTCCTTTCTGTGGGTAGATCATAGAAAACATTTCTCAAAAGCTGCCCAGGCTTGATTTTAGAGTAGGTGAGCTTTTTCTGATTCCTTCTAGATGGAAGCATTCATCCACAAGGGATTAACTGAACAGGTTATCGCCTCTGTCCATATAGATTATGCTCTGGAGTTGTTCATTATTTTTTTCTCTAACTTTATTCAGTCTTTGTGTTGTGCTGGCAGCACTGTAACATTGATGTTCCCTAGCACCTCATACACGTCTAGGAAATTAAGTGCTTTGGATAATGACTCACCATTCTTTCCAGCAAACCCACGATTAAATCCATTGCAATTGATCGTGCTCAATGAGGATGCAGCTGTCCCGTGAAATAGTAACTTCTCATTATTTTGATTTTTGTTCTTTGCAGAGAGAGCTCTTTTTTTAATTTGGTATGTCTGCCAGAGGAAGGGATTCTGTATTCTTTCAATCTGCAAAGTTACAAAATAGAACTATATTTATACTGGTAGGGACCAATATTCATCATGGCAGGAAAGCATTAAAACCAAACCAAACTGAAAGAATGACAGTAATTTTCACTACGCCTTGTTTATGTGGGTTTGTCAAGATTTGGGTTGGGGAACTGAATACGTAAGCCTCCTGAAAAAAACAGAAACCAAAATAGCTTACAAGAGGTTTTCAAGCTTGGTAATTTTTGGCATCCATTTGTCTTGCCTAGTACAGCAGGCAATACATACACAGGCAGTCAGGGTAGCTGTCATTTTCAGAAACAGGCTGTTGTACCACGGCTAAAGGCAATGCTGTAAAATGCCTTCCGTACATCCTAACCATTTTAACTGATGATTTTCTCACTAAGGGTAGACTGTAGCAATAACATTATGTTGAATTTAAGTTTCTTTTCTAGATCACAGCTTGGAAGTCAAAGTTATTTCCTTTACTGTGTAGCTTAGCAACCCATAAGAAGTTCCTATATAAAAATTAATTGGTGGGAGGACAGATGTTGCTGGCTTCCTATATCAACAATGCGAACATAGCTCAGGGGGAAAGAGCGTATCTGCATCAAAGTATAATCTTAAAGGCACTGCTGTAACAGCTTTCCATTTTCATTGGAAAAGGCTTCATGTCATTACCTGATTTTTTCTACTGTACACTAATATTCCATTCTGAGTCTCAGTGCCCACGCTCATTGTATCTCATTTTCCAAACAAATATTTTCACTCTTAATTTAATCCTATTTTCTCCTATTTATCGTTCCTCACGATTCTGAACAATTCCATCTTCTCCCTGGCAACTGAATCTCTCTGCATTGTTTTACAGACTTTTCAATAAACAGGATCAGATCTTGACACTTTGGTTAAAACCAAGAGTCGAGCCTGAAAGGCTCTGGGACTGACAGGGAAGAAGTGGTTAAATAGTAAATAGCTTTATGGCCAGTCTGCAAGGACTTTGTATTTTCCTTTGTATTCTGAACGCATTTGCTCATGCTTCCACTTCAGTATAGAATTTCTTAACTAGAAATACCACATTAACTAGCAAGTACCACAGTAGTTGAACACAGAGTCAGCCTGAAGACAGATGGTCACTGGTTTTGCATTAACAGAAGGCAGAAATGGCAGGGAAACCTAGGAAATTTAATTTGATCTATATCCACTCTGTACAGCGCTGAGAAGACTGACACATGAAAGCTGTATCACCTGCAAACAAAGATTTGGAAAGTATATCAATGTTTTCAGCCCAATAATGACTTTTTCTTCCCCCATAGGATTTCACCTTCTCTATGACAAAGGTGGGACAGGTTTTCTTAAACCTGTTCTGAACTTCCAGGTATTCCTGATGTGTTGGCTTGAGATTCACCACTTTCACCGGCTGCCCTTGCATGTCTTTCCACTGCGCAGGGAGCTCTACTGACTGCATATCTGCGAGACAGAGATTGCCTTATTATCACAGATATCTAACCCAGCTCTTTTGGCACTGCTTATAAGCTAACTGCATGACAGTACCCTATGCAATACTTTATTCCTAAAATATTCTCTCTTCAATACATCACTGGCTCTGTAGTGTACTGGTAGGACTTTACATTTTCCCTAGTCTAATTATCCCCATACCAATATTAACTAAAACAAGTTTGAAAACCACAGAAAAAATGTACACATTCTGCATAAACTACTTCCTTTGTCAGATTTAAGCTTGAAATCTATGCTCACTAGTCACATGTGTATGGATAATATTTGTATTTAAAATAGATGTTCTGATCTCAGTCGTACCTGCCACTAATTACGGAACTAAACTGACTGGCTATGGCATGCCTAATAAAAAGAGAGAAAAAAGACGGGGGGGAGGGGGAAGACAAAAGCTTGGAATGGCTAAGGAATAGCTTACTTCTTTGGAATACCCGAGTTTGCTTTATCAGAATTCTTATTCAATAATCACTATTAATTGGTGGTTTTTTTAAACAAAGCTGTAAGTTACCTTCATTTTTTGGCACACGTTGAATGTTTATCGTTTTTCCTTGGTTGTCAGTAGCCTTTAGAGTATTCAGATTCACCTGGTAGTTCTTCTTGTTAATTTTGACAGGAAGATGTGGTTTTTTAGCTATTTTGGCATCCTCCAGCTGCATATTTGTCAGTTTATCAAAAGCAACAAAGCTATCATCGTTTCCTGGATACCTCCATTCTACCAGGTTATAAACAAGCTCTGCCTTGGATCGTTCTTCTTCAGTGTCCTTAATTTTCTGTATCATTTTTTGAACTTCTACAGTAACAAAATATACATCCCTGCTAATACCAGAAATTTTAATGAGAGGTGGGGAAAGTTTATCTTCAAGCTGAATGGTAACATGCTTTCTTCTCTGGAGATCTGTCAAGATGTCAATTTCCCTCTCATCAAAATTTTCAATTAGCTCATCTGAAATAGTGTTTTCAAACTGTTCCTTTAAAATTAAATCCTTTATCCAGCACTCAGTTGCATCCACATTTTTTTGGCTTTCTCCACAGATCTGAAATGTGGCTAAATCAATTTTCTTCTCCAAAACTACAGGCTTTTTCTTCTCAGTGGATGGGTTTTTTCCCCATAAAAATGCTGTGAAGAAATATATGTTAATTATTAGTTTTAAATAAAAGATATTTAGTTTTATGCACCCGTGCACACAGAAAACCCACCAACTTACATTTTAACAAAGATATCCATGAATCTGTTGTGGACAAATCTGAATTTTCTCTTTTCTTCATGCTTTCGTAGAAGTCTCTGAGCATATTTGTCTGGAAGATGATGATTTTAATTTTTTTCAAATGCTGTACTGATCTTTTGCTTGCAAATTCCACTATAGCATCCAACATGTCATCGGCTACCTTTGCTGGACTCTGTTTTGCCTGACCTAAACAAAAATAAAAGGCATGTATCAGTGAACAGTACTGAAATCAAGGCAGCATCCAGAAAACAGAGGCCATGGCCCAGCTTGTACAGACCAGTGTCCCTCCCTCCTCCCCCATTATGTTTTTTGGCCGAAGCCCCAGGGTTAACCTCAGCTTTACACCTAAGCCTCTGAGCTGCTGGAGTTAACATTCTGCACAGACTCCCTGCTGGGAAGCTCTTTTGGGATTATCCCCCCATTTACTTTGAGGCTCCAGCCAGCACTTCAGCCTTAGCATTCTCCTGAGATTTTTAAATCCACACATCGCTAACTCTATCCTCATCTTTAAACCAGGCAGCAAAGTCAAACCAAACCAAAATCAGTGGAGGATTTTGGCACGAGCCTACAGTGTATTTCAACGTACAAACAGGGACATCAAGCTCAAAACAACTGCTCTCATTCCCCTACGCCTGCTCCCCAAACTAACCAGAAGCTTAAACGAAAACCAAGACCTGTAAGAGGTGTAAAGGGCACGTATTCTGTACCCAGCCCACAACTTCTGTAGTCAGCCAGGCAAGGTTTTGGTCTTTGGACATCTCCAGCTTCCTTCACCTACAAACCCCACCCCAAGCCCTTATGTGAAGCTGAAATCCCAAAGCAAAGTCTATGGGAAGTTTGAAGAAAGGTGCAGGGAGGACAGCTGAGATACACAGTCTGTGTTGGGGCAGAATGTCTTTTATGGAGCAACGTCTTTTCTTTAGATGTTCTTGCTCAGTCAATATTGACTGCAATGTTTATACTTCAAACAAGCAGCATTTTTGAAATGTGCGAGTTGTGTTTGAACTGACCACAACAAACTTCCACAAATCACAGTTTACAGAGTTTCTTGTACCAATCTACTGTTACCCATACCAGAGGTTTGAAGTTTGTCCCAGTTTCTGAACTATCCCCATCACACCCCTCATCACTTACCCAAGAAAACACAAACCTGTTCCAATTGCTGGGAAGGCAACAGATTTGTACATCCTTAGCTCGCACTCGTGAAGGACTTTGGAGACCTGATTCTTCACATTGTTATCATGAATCAAGTGGATGATTTTACTGCACAACAGTTTTCCACCTTGGGTAGTAATAAAGCCATTTAGAGTCTTCTCAGCTGGAAGAGAGAAGATAAAGATGGAAACAAAACAATTTCAAAGTGGCTATCTCTTCTGATAAGACAGTTGGTTGTGTTGATGCTAGTGTACACTGGAATAATGTACACTAAAAGAGAAGTGGAAAAAGTGGAAAGAAATCCTCTGTGAACTATATGATCCTGGTTTTAGCTGATTCTACTTTTCTCTGTAAATATTCTTATTGCAGAAATTGAGAAAGTAATTCAAGTAATTGTGTGTTTTCTAATTTCCCAGATCTCTGCTATGAAGTATTTTCCTATTAAATACAACTTAAGAATGTCTGTTGAATTTAAATACAGCTCACCGATTTAAAAGGATGCCAACAGAAAGTGCATAATTCATTTATATGAGAAATCCTTTCTTATGCCCCTTATTCCTTAAAAGCTCAAACGCTGATTCTGCAGAAAAGATGAATGGTTAAAATAATATCATTAAGATAACGACCAACTGATCCAAGAACTGTGGTATGGGATCTTTAAAAAGATGTGTTTTTTCATAGCTTTCATGTTTGATTACAGACACCTCAAAATGGAGTCACATTGTGAGGATGAGTGGACTGATGAACGCAGAATTACATACCACTTCACTGATCACAAAGGTAACAACTGATTGTAAGATGCTCTGCAAGCGCTGAGATCAGGGAGATAAATGAGGAGAGCCTGCAGATCTAAAAGGATGGAGAAAAACACCCAGGAAATTCCATCTTGGAAATCAACTTCTGGACTCGAAGCAGGAACATTTTGTCTATGCAACCAGATCGTGTTCCTTCCTGCGCTCGCAGGCATCAGCCACAGAGAGCTGGGATTTTACTGCTCCACTGCTCTGGCAGAATGCAGACTGCAGACAAACTCACAATGAGCATGATAAAGAGAGTTACATTATTTCAATTAAAAATAATTATGTATTTGTGAATATAAGCCCAGATTTGCTATTAGCTTTTAAAAGCCATTCCTGCACGTGCTTACACCAAAAGACGGTTTTCCACCACTTTGTTCTGTTTCAGCTCTCCTGCAGCTGATAACAGGTGAGCTTAAAAATTACACTCAAGTCAATGGGACTGTTTCTGTTCTTAAGCCAAGAACATGCATGAGTAATTTCATGGGTAAGGAACTTAAATTAGATTATTTTCCAAGCATTTATTAGCATCAGAAAACTGTATCCATCTTCTGTTCAGTTATGAAAAGAAAAATTCTCAAAGCAGGTGTCACAACATCAACAACAGGATTTTTCAGAATTCCTAAAAGTGAAAGCTAGTTTTTCAGATAAAATAATTACACCATCAGAGTACAGAATCATAAAACAACTTTAAGTGTGCAGAGAGAACAAAAAAAACAATCAAACGCAACAGTATGCTTTCACATACCATATTGTGCACATTCTGCTTCTACCTGGGAACCAGCAGCATCCATAATTGCTTTGAAGACCCCTTAAATTACACAAGAAAAGCACATGCATTCATTAAGTCAATTTAGCTATTTCTACTCAAAACTCGCACCCAAATTCTGTACTCTACAAACACTCCAAATTCTCACAGGGCAAGATCCCACGAAGTGCAAAACCTTGCCAGTTCCCCTAAGTGCCCTCCATGGCACACCGTACTGGCTGCAAAGACAACACTGCCTTTGATACTGATTAAAAATAATTCAGAATAACTCCTATTCCATCGTTTCCCCAGCCCCTCACTGAACTCCAGTTGCTTTGAATTATATAATTTGACGTCCTTCATGCTTACAATTTACAATGTCACCCAAGCGTCCTCTGCTTCTTACAGGGCAACTGAGTTAACCAGAGCTTTGGCTTACAGTGGATCATATTAGGACAAGAGCAGCTTTGCAGAATTATATTTGATCAGGAAAATTCCCTTTTATTTAAGCATTTTAGTTTTTAAACAGGAAAAATCTGGTCAGATGCCTTCTGTTTTTGAGTAGTTTTGGAAAATAAATAGAATATTCAGGACATATTAAAAAAACCTGTTTAAGATCTATTTCCTGACTAATCCCAAC